CCCCCCCCCCCCCCCCCCCCCCCCCCCCCCCCAAAAAAAAATTGTTTCTTCAGTTCGTTGGACTTCAGCACCCTTAGATTTCGTTACGAAGGAGAAACCCCAAAGTGTAATAAATGGTATGCTCGTCGCCTTTTTAATTCGGATCGTTGTTCACTCCGTTGAAAATACTTTGAGGAATTTTGCTATAAAATATGGCTTCAAATTGGAAGTTAAAAAAATTTGGGTTTGCGTGTTTGTTTTGAAGTCATTCCAAGTACAGTGAGGGAACATGTAGGAATTGTTGTAGAAGTCAACAAAATGTTCTCTTCTCCTTTTGTTAATAGGTTGTGAAAAATAATCAATGAGAGAAGGTATTGGTGAAAACAATTGTCTTTGCTGTGCTTTCATGAGAAAGAAAAGAGGAGACAGCATGTATTTTTGTCAAATTACCCTCATTTAACCCAACAGTGTGTTAATGTTTGAGTCTTGAGACATTTCTTGGATTTTTATATGGTTGTGATGTTAGGACCATGGAGGTCATGAAGATATTTATAGCTTGTTTATTTTTTATGTTTTAATTTTGTTTCCTTAAAGCTACACATGCTTTTACATCTGTTAGAATCATGCTATGTGGTAGTTATTTTGATTTGTGTGTGTAAAATAATAGGTTATTCCCTGTTTTCTTTCAATTTCATTATCAATTTCTAGTGGTCTACCTGGTGTGCTTTAAAATCTTATCGTATACTCTCAGACATGGTAATCAGTCAGGGCTATAAGTTAGTTATGAACTCATAACAATGATAACATAGATGGGTATTTGTTATCTAATTGTTTTTAGATATCTGTGGTGCATTATGAGAAATTTAGAGTGATCTCAATCCAAGGTATCAATTTAGTAAAACTTTTTCCCCACGATATGTTCCAAGAAAGAGATAATCTGGAACTTAAAGTTATAAATTATATTCTTTCTAGAAATGGAAAATCAATTCGGGGAATTTATGATACAAGTATTCAATTAGTTTGGACTAGTTTCGTCTTAAATTGGGATCAAGACAAAAACTGTTCTTCTTTTTCATTTTTTGACAGGATATGTACATTCGTGTTAAACGTAGTAAGACTGGACTAGTTTCGTCTTAAATTGGGATCAAGACAAAAACTGTTCTTCTTTTTCATTTTTTGACAGGATATGTACATTCGTGTTAAACGTAGTAAGACAACATACTTCATCCGGTGCAAGCCGTCTGATAAAACTCTTGACATAAAGCAGAAGTTGCAAGAACTTGTTGATCAGCCAGCTAATAATCAACGGTTAATTCTACATGGAACAGGGGAAGTGTTAGAAGACTCTAAGACTCTGGCAGATCAAAAGGTACTGTATCATCACATTTTATGTGATATATACATATATATATACACACACATATTGTAATTTTTTAGTGGCAGCATTTAGGATAAATCTAAATCCTGGGTCTTTTTACATATTAATTCTTAATCTCAAACTGGCCAAAATGTTCTAGTTGCCCCTCAAATGACTTATACCTGCATGTTGTAGATGTTGACAGTTTCCTATAATTCTTTTACTGTTCAGGTTGAAAATGATGCTGTTGTTGCACTGACCTTGAGAAAAGGTAATGTGTATATTATTTTCCTTTTCCTTGCTGCCTATTTAGTTTTCTTTGTTCCTTCACTGATTGTGTGAAGAGTCCTATTGCCTGTTGTGTTTGTTGTTCTTTGAAGGATCCTTCAAATTGGATGATAGAGATAAATTATTCAGGCCATCCAGGGGTTTTTGTTGGATTACTTTTGAACAGTGTAATTCCTTCTAGGGAATTAAAGTAACTAGGGACTATTTCTGCAAGCCATAAAATTGTAATGGTCTTCAATTTTCATGGGCTACTTTGGAATTTTTTAGATGTATTTTAGGCATAAAAAATAAACTCTAATTTCCTTTTTGGCATGCATAAAAAATGCATAGGAATTACGTACATATATTAACTTTAATCACTTAGCTCCTTTACTTATCTGAAATCTATTCATTTGGTATTTTTCTTTTGAATTTTTTTTTTAATTTGTAGAATCTTAAACTAATCATAGTGGGTTCTTGTTTGATAAAAAGTGGTTTTTTACTCTCTAACTAGACCATATCCATATTCCTTTTATTAAAGAATAGGATTGAAATCCATATTATACAACCTAGCCTTTTCCCACTATTGTAAATTTATTTAATTTAATATTGTGAATAATGACTGAGAAATAGATGTGGAGACAACCATTGAAAGCACATGGCTTTTATTTAAGTAGAAGTTAGATGGAGTATATGAAATGTAAGTATAACAAGAGGCACGTCAATCCAAACTTAGTGGTGAAAATTACAGACCATACCTTACAAGTCACGGGTTTAAGCATCATGGGTCCATAATACAATACGATGGAGAAATTGGGGAGATGTAAATGTTAAACTGGTACCTAAAGTTAAAGAAAGAATGGATTTATTTCTATAAAAAAATGTTGTTTCAGTCCTGGCCCAGGTGACAAGTATTGAACTACTGATCAAGAATCACAATAAACTCTCCTACTCTTGGCTCTTTGAAAGGAGAACACTTCATACACTGATCATTCTCCTCCCTCCATTTCTATACCACTTTCCTACTTATTTTCTGCCCCCTTCTAACTAACTGCTAGTATTTCGGTTATGACATCTGTAACAATTGTTATTTTCAAAATAGAATAACTAATTTCCGTTATTATTATTTCTCCCTGTATGCTGTCTAACATGGTTTTAAATTGTGGTCCGCAACCACAATTGCGGCTGCATCAGCCACATTTTTTCTGCAATTTCCCACAATGTTAAGGGTTATGAGTTATGACGCAACTGCAATTGCGACTGCAATCACAGTATAGATTCATGCTGTCTAATTCTAATATACACCTTTTTAACTAATGGGCGACTATTTAGTAAACCATAGGATTCAAGGGGGGAGGATGAAATAGAGGATGTGCCTCAAGTATTCAGTGGCGATATCACTCAAGCTTAGAGGAAATTTTTATCTCAACTAAAAGACCTGTGGTATTATAGGCAAACGATTCTGAAAAAAGAAATTATAGGCCAAACCATTAGGAAGGATTTAGAGGTCAATGGTACATAAAACATTATTTGTCACCATTCAATCCACGTCGCTGACCAAAATGTAGAGGGAAAAGGGTTGTTTGTTGTATAGTGAATTATTGCACTATAGTTCATTACTTTTAATGCTTCAGTGGAACTTTTTATTTGGCATTGGCTTCACTTTATCTACTGTGCAAGGGTCTGAAACCAGTGATCAATAGTCTCCTATTGGATTATTTCTCCTTTTCCCTAATGGAACACTATTCAATGGCATTCTTCTAATGATTTCTTGCTGCTTTAATCGTCATCATTGTCATGGTCGTTATTATTATTATTATTATTATTATTATTATTATATAGAGAAGTCATGGTTTTGAATCATGGAATCATATACTTATTCTCATTCTGAAAATGGAAGTCATAATATATTTATGTCAATTTTAGTGGAGGAATTGAATTATCAATTTCTGCTTTATTGTTATTCGTAACAGAAAAAAAAAATCAATTGTTATAGGTAATTAGCATGACATGGCTGCTTATAAGTGCACCCATTATTCATTTATTACCTCAGAAAAATGGTTTCTGTTGGATTTTACTGTCATTGTAAGGGTCAACTGTTTCAAATGTCACTAAAACATATCATGTTCTTTTAATGGAGTTTACTGAGGTTTGGGGAAACGAAATAGGTGAAAATGGTAAAGAAGAAAATAATTCTTTTCAATCCAAAAGTTAACTTGAGCTACAGTTGTCAAGTAATGAATTGGATTGAGAATTTGAGATTTTGTGTAGAATTAAAATTGTCATGTCAAAGTGATAATAAACATATTGAGGGGATATATAATATATATTAAGTGGTAACTGATGGAAAAGAAAGCAGATTGAAGAAATTAATGGAGATATTCTAAATGGCCATTTCATTGATCCTTATAATTTTTTATCTAGGTCAAGTAACTAGTCTCCCCCTTCTTCGCCCCCTTCCTTTATCTGGGGTCTTTTTGTAAGAAACAAATATAGGCGCTTTTCTTTGTATCTTTGATCTTCACAATCATGCAGCTGGCATTTACATGTAGTTTATATTCTCTTTGTTAGCTTAGCTGTCAATTACGTGATCTTAGGAGTTAGTTACTCCTTGATTCTCTAAATTAGTTTCTGATTGTAATCTTTTCCTATTATTGTGATTGATTTGGTTGTATTGGATAATACAACCACATGTATATAAGTAACTCGAATTAATGAGAATCGAATAAGGGGTTTTTTCCCAGAATTGGCATGGTATCAGAGCGATTGATCCCATGGTTTTGTTCTAAAGATCAAAAGCTTAAATGGAAAATGAGAGCACGAGGAATGAACTTGAGGCATCCTCTAACATCTTAGAGGACCTCGTGTAGTCTGTAGCTGCTACCATGGCTAAAGTCTTGGCACAGAACCAATTTTCTCTACAAACCGGTTCACAAGAGTCAGGCAGCAACACAATTAACATAAAACTTGACGAATCTGATTATGGTCAATGGTCTCAGGTGGTCGAACTTCACCTCTTTGGGAAGTACAAACTGGGATACATAAACGGAGATGTACAGGAACCTACTGTGACAAATTCTACATATCGACGGTGGAAAATGGAGAATGCCAATGTTAAAGGCTTGATCTTGAACTCTTTAGACCAAAGTTTGGTGGGAAACTTCATACGATTCTCTATTGCAAAACAAGCGTGGGATGCTATCGCTACCACCTATTTTGACAGTAGTGACTCCTCTCAGATTTATGATCTCAAAAGGAAAGTCAATAGCGTGAAACAAGCTGGTGGAACCCTGGAGGCTTATTATAATTCTCTTTAAGGATTATGGAGAGAAATAGATTTTCGGAGACCAAATCCAATGGTATGTGCTCATGATAATCAGAAATTTAAAGATTTATTGCAGGAAGATCATGTTTATACATTTCTTGATGGTCTGGATGACCACTTGGATCATGTAAGGGGAGATGTGTTGCAGATGAAGCCATTCCTATCTCTTGAATAGGCATATAGTTATGTTAGAAGGGAGGACACACGACACAGTGTGATGCTCTCAGGCACTGATGCTGGATCATCTACAGCAATGGCTACAAAGGGAAGCTTAAGGAATGGTGGTAAGTTTACCAAGAAGCAATCAAATACTGAAAGCGGGTGTACCCATTGTGGGAACAAAAAGCACACCAAGGAGACATGCTTCAAGATACATGGCTACCCGGACTGGTGGCATGAACTCCAATCTAAGAAATAAAAGGAAAGAGGGACAGCGAAGGTCACTTTAGTACATACTGAGCCTCAATTATCTCTTGTTACTCAAGTTGAATCTTCCTCAATTAACACCTATGATGAAGGTAACATATACTTTACATACTTGTCTTCTAATAATGGTAATAATGGAGGGTGGATCGTTGACTCGGGTGCTACTGATCATATGACATATCGTGCCAGTGATTTAGTAGAGAAATCACTACCTAGACAATCGTGTATCATAAATGCTAATGGAGAATCATACCCAGTGAAAGTAGCTGGGACAGTTAATTTTTCAAACCATATCTCTTTGCCTAATACTGTACTTGTTCCCTCTTTATCAAATAAACTTATCTTCGTTGCGCAAGCTACTAAACAATTAAACTGCGTGGCACTTATGTATCCTAATTTCTGCCTTTTTCAGGATATCTTCACGAAGGAGATCATTGGGTGTGGTACTAAGAGGGGAGGACTCTACTACATGGAAGATCTGAATTCTAGCATAGTGAATAACGTGGGAAAGGCTAGTGACAACAAAGGAGAGATTCGGGTTTGGCATGAACGTATGGGTCATCCATCCTTTTATTACATGAAGCAGGCACTTCCAAAACTCTTTGCTGGTGTAGATTTGAGTAAATTAACATGTGACACTTGTATAGTTGCAAAGAGTCCTCATGTACCTTTTCCCACACATTTGAATAAAATTAATACTCCTTTTGGTTTGATACATACTGATGTTTGGGGGCCATCATCTTTGTCGTCTTTAGTTGGTCATCAATGGTTTGTAACCTGTATCGATGATTGCACGCTTGTTACTTGGCTATATTTTCTTAAGCATATAAATGAGGTTTTTGATATATTTAAAACTTTCCACAGTACGATTCGAACACAATTCGACTTTTCTATTTGTATTCTTCGTTTAGATAACGGAGGTGAATACGTTAATAATCAATTTCGGCATTTTTTAATACCCATGGGATTATACATGAGACCTCTTGTCCTAACACACCTCAATAGAACGGTGTTGCCGAACGGAAGAATCAACATATCCTAGAAACAGCAAGAGCCTTGCTCATAGGTGCTCATATGCCATCTAAATATTGGGAAGAAGCTATTGGGACTTCTATTTATCTCATGAATCGTATGTCGTCTAGAACTCTTGACTTCAAGACTCCTCTTGAAACCTTGAACAACTACTTCTCAATCTTTCCCCACTCGCTACTTCCTACCAAGGTTTTTGGTAGGCATGATCTAACCCGTTCCCGTGGGTACTCGTCCGAACCTGCCCCGATTTGGACGAGGAAAACCCGTGTTTATCGGGTTCGGGTTCGGGTTTTCCCCGATTGATAAAATCGGGGGCGGGGGCGGGG